TTTTTTCAATATTTTAATTATCTACACTTTTATTTTTTGATATTTTATATTTATTCAAAATCCTTACATTTTATTTATTTAGGGATATAGAATATCAAAAAATAAAAATATACAACCTAAAATATTGAAAAAAGTGCAGAACTTATACCAAAATATAAAAAAAGTGTAAGAACTAAAAGATATATTTTTTAATTTTGTTGACAAATAAAATAACATAATAAATCTTTTTAAAACAAAGGTTAAAGTATATTTTTAGTTCTTTAATTTTTAATATTATTTTATTTTAATCCCTTAATTTTATGACTTTTTTTTGAATCTTTTAACATACCGTTAATTTCATTACAAAAGCTTTTTACATTAACCTTTAAATATTAAAAAATATTTTAACATGTTGCTATATAATGATTTAATTTTTTTTAAAAAATGACAATATTTGACATAAAAGATAATCATTTAAAACTAACAGTGTTAGAGTTAAAAAACTAAAAAAATACATTATAATATTAAATGATCAAATTAAAATTTTATATTGAATTAGAGAATTAAATTTATACATTTACTTAAAATAAATAAATATTTATAGATAGGACTATAGGAATATGTATTTTTTACTTTATAAAAAAATTTCAAAGCAATACCTTTTTCAAGTCTAGTCTAATGTGGGATAAAGATTTTTTTTTTTTTTGTAAAAAAAATCCAACGAGCTCAGAATTGAAAGTTGAAATGGACATGAAAGCTCAAAAGTGGGCCACCTACTTCTACGAAGGCCCGTGCCCAAAGAAACGATGCATATCGGCCGTTCATAGTCGATACAAAATAACTGGAGAATAAATGAAGTCACGACTTGATAATCAAGAAAGCCCAAAATTGGGCCTTTATGCACACTATACAGGCCCATAACTAAAGCAACGGACCAAGTTCAGTAACTAACCCATATTTCAACATGTGTTCGGCCACCAACGAGGGTCGGTCTCAAGTTTGAGCCTTGTATATATAGAAAACCCCTACTAGGAGACTCACCAGGGTCGGATCCGCATTAGTCAGGACAAAGCTCTGGATGGTGGGCAACCCAAAAAACAAACATGTTTGGCAAAAAAAAAAAAGACAAAGAAAAACACGCGTAAAAAAAAACATATTCCAACATATCTTTTATAAACATATATGAAAATAATATTTTGTTTTGCCAACAATGAAAATAATGTTTAAAAGGATACAATATAGTTAAATATTGCGCCAACAGTTAATTAACAAATGGTTATTCAACTTGGCAAAAAAAAAAAGGTTATTCAATCAAAGTTGATGTTCACGTTGCGAAATAATTTTATTAAATTGATAAATGACAACACAGAGAAATGAGAAATGACACATTCATGAGCTGCGGCATTGCAAAGGAGAAGAGTGCTGCAAAGATTAGGTTGTGCAATGGGCTGGATGGATTATCTGTAGCCCATCTCATTTTACAAAAAAAGGGTTGGGCCAGCCCTTACTCAAACTTGTACATGGCCTGTTTGAAAATGGGACCGAGCTAGCCCCTCCGGGTTAGAATGAGCGGCTCCAGACCGTTTTGAAGTTAGCATTTTTAAAATATCAATCACTTAGGATAGCTCCCAAAAAAAAATCAATCAAGACATATGGAAAGAGAAGACCCTATTCCATATCAAATATAGTCACTTATCTCCGAAAAAATTCAAGAAAAGAATGAAAATAAGATGGTACATATCAAGCAAGATGATTATTCGGGATACTAAGTCCTAAGAGCTCTTGAGTTCTATGGTGCACGACAGAGTTCATACAATTGACTTTCGAATGCAGAGAGGACTTCACACGGCAAATATGTGCCCTTTTGGCTGCAAAGACTTAGAGGACAGAATGCATCTCTTATGTGATTATCAACATGCACGGCGTTGGTGGAAAGAGTACGTTCGGATTGATCTTAATGGATGAATTGTATAGCTTGGATAGAAGAGGGTGGCTGAGATGGAATCTCAAGATCCAGGCGCAACTCTTTCACTAAGAATGTTCCCTAGGACATCTTTTGGGCTATTTGGAAGAACAGAAGCTCAATGCTATTTTCGGATAGGGAAGAAAGGTTTTTTGAAGAACTCTCTCACTTTATATTCAAAGTTGCTACCGATTTGAAACTGGGGTCTCATCTTAACAACCTTATGAGACAATGGCCTATCGCCCCTCAACTAAGACAGAATATGAATACTATTAGGTTAGAGACCGACAGTTCTACTACGATGAATGGACAAGGTGCTTGTGGTGGTGTTTTAAAAGATGCCAATGGAGCTTGGGGTTATAGGTTTTAATCAGAAGCTAGGGTGTGTAACTCCCCAGTATTTCAAAAATCTATGGTATTTTCTTAACCTTGGATATTTTTTGGAAGAAGGGTTTTGAAGATTGTGAAATTTTTTTGTGATTGTGCACAAGCTATTTCATAGTCACAAATGATTACCGACCCTTTCAAGATATTATTGATTTACAGGGAAATTTTTGGTTAGAAATTGGGGTGTTGATTTTAACTTTTGTACAAGGAGGATGACTACTTGGCTATATAAGCTAAGTCATTGCCTTCCTAACCGATAATCATTTGATGTTGCCCTTGTAATTTTTTGTAGGTTTGCTCTAGCTTTAGGCTTTTGTTTATTTCCTTAGTTTGTCTTACTAGTTTGTACTTGACTCTCATTCTATTAAATGAAGTTTCCCATATCATTATTTTTTTAAAAAAAAAAGAGCTCTTAGATTTCTCCAAATTGAAATCATAACCAAGAACCAGTAGTTAAAAACAAAAAACAAAAAGAAAAAGCTCACCTCTTTCGAATTGAAATCATTGTTCCTGGGAGATTTGTCTTCAAGAGTGGAGCCAGACCATCGTTGTGGGAGATGAGATGGACTGGTGGGACCAGAAAAAGCTCACCACTAAAGCATGGAGACAAGGGAGATGCAAAGGTCGAGGGACCACCGTGAGTTCAAAAGCATGGAGTTAGACCATCATCTTGCTTTTGCTAAATGTTGAAGAGGGACTACAGACTAGGGATGACGATGAATGGAGAGTGGAGAGGTCAAGTCTCAAAGAGATGAGTGCAAGCGTGAGCGGGGATGAGAAGTTGAGAATAGGATGAGTGAGAAAAATGAGGGTTTTTCTTTTCTATATAGAAACAATGTGAGATGCACCTATACACGGGTTGGGACAGGCAACTTGAGGGGTCCCATAACTCATCTCACCCAATTTACAAGAAATACAGATCGACTACTCGTAAATTTACCCGCCCATTTTTTCTTTTAATGGACAAGTTTTAGTCCACCCATTAACCAGTTATGAGCAAGTTGCAGTTATCTAGTTACCTCTAATAACAAGTGAGAAAAATGAGGGTTTTTCTTTTTGGGATAGAGACATGGTGAGATATGCATAATTTCAAAAGGTCTTTATACACATACACATGTATGATGTAAATATGAGTTAGGATGGTTTATAACGTCTCTCGCTCATTTATAGGAAACATGGACTGGCCCGTAAATTTAGCCTTCTCGGTTTTTTTTTCTTTTTAATGGCTCGGTTTAGCCCATCGGTTGACCGAATATGGGCTGGTTCCAGGTTATTTTCTCACCCGTAGCAAAGATACATATCTTACAGCAGATCCATGTCCTCTCACTGGTAGCATTCAGTATCCCTTGGTATCCCAAAAACTTGACCGCTCAAATAATTCGAAAGGACATAATGCACCATGTCACCACAGTCATTTTAAAATGCACCTAGACCGTTCCTTTTGTTTTAATCATAGGCATCCATATTTTGCCAGATCTGAAATCCCTATCCTTCATAAATACACTTTTCGTTAAACCTTTTTACGATGCAAACAAGGAGTTCGATTGTTATCCACCGTTAGGCACTATGATATTCGTTCAAGTATCTTCACTACACCTCTTCCTCTATATTCTTTGACCTTCTTCCATCCAGTAGCAGAAGGAGAGGAACTAACAAGGGCCATGGCCCTTTCAATTTTTTTATATTATATATAGGTATTACATACTTTAGATCTTTTAAAATTTATGAAAACTTTGTAGTATATATATATATTTAGTATTGGCCCCTCTTATGGCTCTGCTCCTATTTCCATCCTCTCCTCCTCAACCTCATTCAATCCCTATTCTTTCGATTTCTCCTCATGTGTTGGTACTTGGCATGAATTTAATTGTATGTACAGACATGATGGAATTCACCCTTAACCTTTTGGAAAGAACCATTTGCCAATAAAAACTGATAAAAGATCTTCCACAAATATTAGATAACAGGAAAAATATAACAAGTTACACAACAGAAATTTTTGTGAAAATAAAAAATTACAGAAATTATATAAAATCATAGCAAAAATTAAATAGAACAGTAAAGCTTACTATTGGTTAAAAAACTCATCCACCATAATACCAAGACAAAATAAGCTACGTGATCTTCAGTATATCCCACACACGCACCACATTATCAAGGCAAAGTCTATTGTTATGACGTGCGTGTATAGTTCATGAACTTCATCCAAAAAAAAAAAAAACCTCCCAAAAACCTCTGTTACTAATAAAAAAATCTTATAATTTAGCTTTCCCACCCGACCCTGCCACAATGTTCCTGAAGTCGACGTATTGAGCTGTGGTGTTTCTGAACATATTGGTTCAGGTGCATTAATTTTTCAAATGCTTGGTGACATGGCATATTATGATCCTTTCGATTATTTGAACGGACAGGCATCGCAGCTAGTTAACTATTTATCCATATTAAAAAATTATGTAAATTAATTGATTGTAATTTTTTCCCCTAAAAGTACATCTATTTTAATCATTTTTATATCGATGCATTATTAATAGAAAGAGGCCTTTGGTAGGATGGAAAAGAGTTTCTTTTATTTTTAAATTAGAAATATGTAAAATTTATTAATTACAAGCCATGGGTTTTTCTCGTTGAATGACAAAAAACACATAATTCAAACATAATATATTATTTCATTATTGATCAGAAGGATTACATTATTAGGGTAAGGTAAGGAAAGCAAGAAGAAGAACAAGGCAGAAACACAGTAGATACAAGCATGTATTATGTATAAGTGGTTTCCTAAGACAGAGTTATTGGACATGGACATGAACGTGGAAGAAACAAGTTGAAGAAGATCAGCAATTGATAGAACAAAGGCAGCGGCGGCGGGCACCCTCGCATTCGCCGGAGCTGTGACCTTCCGTTCTGCAGACGTTGGCGCAGTTGTGGTCACTCATACACAGCCCTTTGAACCTCTTGCTCGGCACCTGGCATGGATGCCTCCATATGCCCTCCGTTTCCATCGCCATCATCCCTTCATCTGCATCATTCATTCATCAGTATACATGTTACAGGATATATATCAAATCTACATATCATTCACGAGTACTGAAATCATATATATACCAGAAGCCAAAACAAGAAGCAACACCAGCAAAACTCCGAACCCAGCGCGACTGATCCTCTCCATGGCACCTTCCAGTAACTGGATCTAGATGGTGCTCATATACAACGCCGGCTGGTGTATTTATAGTATAGTCCAACACTGCTGTAACTATACGTGGAATATATCCTGCACTACCACTATAGATAGAGATTAGGTTGTTGACGTAGGTTGTTCTTGTTCGGTGGCGATCACATGACCGACATGGGAATTCTAAGACGGCAAACGAGGTGGCTGAAGGGCTCGGCGACATGTATCTTTAGCATGCACATTTGTCGGAACCTCACCTCCCTTACTTCCTTTAATTTTTCTGTTCATGCTACATCTTTCTCTGTGATTTATACCCCATGATTATTAATTTCATATGATAATTTCAAACATGTAAATCCAAATATTTGTATGTTGATTGGGAAATCCGAAACATTTTACATTTTATGTTAAGTTTTAGATTTATGTTTTTCTTAAACGCAATTAAAATTCAGTTGTTATAGTTTTCATTCAGTTTTTAGATTTGTATATTGATGAATCTTTTTGTCATTTCATATTCTCTGAGAGGACAACACTGCAGCATTCGGACCATCACTCTGTTGTCTCCTCTTTAACCAAGCTAGAGAATCTTCATCCAACATGTCACCGATATATTTTTCATGTCTTTATTCGTCTCATAATGCATCAAGCTCCTCCATTTCACACCCACTTTCCCGCCTTAAAAGCCCCAAAAACCCCTCTCCAGATTCCAAAAGCTTCTTTAAAATCCACACATGATAGATCCATGACATTTATCATGCATACACCGATACTTAAAAAAAAAAATAAATTAATGTATCCATATCCAATATGATATGTGCACGATAAAGTAGACTTAAAAGTAGACTTTAATAGGCCTAAAGTCTACAAGGGATCTAGTTTCGGTGCTTATCATCAAGAAAGATCTGGGCCATCTAGAATTAATTTGGATGGTCTAAATTTTTTTAATTTTAATTTTAATTTTAATTTTAATTTTAATTTTATATTTTATAAAAATAAAATTTATAAATTTTTTACAAATATATTTATCATCAATCTGAATAGTACTGATTTAATCTAAAACTTTGAGTGGTTTAGTTTAAGAAAATTATTTTCTAAAAACTATTGGTCCCTTCTTGCTAAGACTCTTGTTATTTAAGGTTAAAGCACATAAATAAGATTTTGGCCAAATAAACTTTTTAAGAATTAGTGAAATTTTTTACAAGGCCACGTGAATTTTCTTTTTTGAGAGGGCAGGGGCACCTGGAATTTTTGAATGGGGCAAATGAAATATTTAGAGTTGCTAAATTTATTTTTTATGAGCTTGTGGGGGCAATTGCCCCATCTACCTTAGGCGTCCACTCTTAGTTGTTGATGAGGATAAAGCTTGTGATAATGAACTTATATCAGACATGGTGAAGCGGGTGAAGACAGGAAAATGAACATGTGAAGATACATTGTCATTGTTCATTTTTGAGATATATTGTGTTTTGGCGACTATTTTCGTTCTTGAATTTAATTAGGATTTACTTTTAGTTATTTTTGTTGATTATCTCTATATATTGTTATAAATGCAAATTATTTTGTATTACGTAAACGCAATCGGTGTTCTTTGTAAATCCATATATTTAGTATCATTTTTAGTCTCTCATACGGTATGAGATGGTGCACAACGTTTTCCCATATTACCCAGTTTGAATGAAAATATTCATACTATGTATTAAAACTTGTATTTGGATCCCTTTAAGTGGATTTTTTTAAAAAAAGAATAGTCAAGGCAATTTACGGTGTTTAAGTTTTTGTTGTTTTGAGTTCCAATTAGGGTCAACTTGTAGTAGTTATGACTGCATTAATTATTTCTTTTGTTTGATCAGATAAAAATGGATGGGAACTTTATTGACGACCTTTTTGTGATAATTTTATAACTTACGGTGCTAGCCTTAAAAAATTGGAGGACGAAAGCATATTAAAAAAATATTAATTATTTAAAAATTAAAAATTATTATATTCAACATAAATTAGCTAAACAACCCCATTATGTAGTTTTAATAAATTGAAAAAGAGTAAATTTATATATTCAATATATTTATATCCTCAAATGATAACAATTTATTATAAAATAAATGATTTATAAAAATTTCATATATCTTAATTTAATTGAAAATAAGCCAGCGAATATTGCAAAGATACCTATCTTGTATCGCCGGCCTGATATCTTGTATCACCCAGTAGCTAGTTAACTAATTTATCTATATCAAAAAATTTACGTAAGTTAATTCATTGTAATTTTTTTTCTAAAAATACCCCTTTTTATCATTATTAATGTATTATTAATATATCTTAGACATCATACAAAAATAATCTATAAGGATAATTTAGAAACAAATTATAAATACAAAAAGCAAATTATAGAAAAGAGTCTTTCTTTTTAAAATCACAAAAATGTAAAATTTATAAATTACCATCGGGTTTTTCATGTTGAATACAAAAACAGAGATAATTCAAACATAACATATTATTTCATTATTGATAGGAAGGATTACATTAGGGTATAGAAAGCAAGAACAAGACAGAAACACAATACATGTGCAAAGGGTTTGCTAAGACGGAGTTGGACATGGAAGAAATAAGTTTAGATCTAAGAAAGAGGGGGCCGGAGAAAGATCACAACCTAAATTATGTGAGGATTGAGGCGCAAAATATGTCAAAGGAAAGAGAAAATATGATTAAATATCTAGGACTGTAAATTTAAAATATTGGGAGGAGTCAAGTTGTTAATGAGATCATGAAAATTTGAAATGATAGACAGTGAGAAAGGATTGAAATTTTAAAATAAAGTAAGCATTATGAATGATTATTTTTATTGAGACCTTTATTTGAAAACCATTTAATTCTTATATTCTTAGTGTAATCATTTATTATATTTTTTTTAATTTGTTCTAGATTTTTATTAAAATCATTTATATATTCAAATTGTTGTTTAAGTGATAGGTGTTCATTATTATTCAAACAATTAGTTTATACATCTAATAAAAGCTAGTTTATATAATTATATATACCAATAAATTAAATTTTATTATCGATAAAATATATATCGTCTAAAAAAAAATTCTACTCCCACTGAAGTACCGAACCCGGTCCGAGCCTCCTAGGTCCGCCAATGCTGCCAATTGCCACAGGTTGTTTTTGCCTTTTTGGACAGGCGCACAGACGCAGGTTGATTAGGCGTGCGTTTGGATAAGGATTATAATCGATTTTTTGGGTAAAAAAATCGATTCTCCAATTAATTACGCAAACATCAATTTCTCAAAAAATCGATTTTTCCCCAAAAAATCGATTATAATCGAAAGCTCCAGGATTTAGCTTCGTCTTTTGTTACAAAATTATATGAAAAAATTACAAAAAAAACCAAAAAAGGCACAAAATTTAATAAAAATAAAACCAAACTCTCTTTTTTCTTTTTTTTTCTTTGTAAAATTTGAACTTTGAATCCTTAAAAAAATTATATCCTATCAACCACCACCCTTCACTTAACACTTGTTATAAAATTAATTTAAATAAAACATTAATTGGTAGAAGGTATGCTGTCAAAATTTTTAAACAGTACTCAACATTGTCATCATATATAGCTTATATTTATGATGTCATTAAAAATTAACTTATACATTATCATCTTCATTAATTATTGTAAAGTTAAAGTTTGGTATTTAAGAATTAAATCTTTTTCTTTTATTAAATTTATTTGAATCAAGATATATTGGGTTATTTATTTACATAAATTAAAATTATTAATATTAATATAATTTAAATTTTTATAATTAATCAGATATATAATGTAAATAATATTTTTTATTTTTTAAATATTAGATACAAATTTATCAATAATTTAATTTTAAAAAATAATATTCTTTATTGTAATTTATACAGTTAAAATTAATTTTGAATAAATTATCCAAACATTTCAATTCTGTTAAAATTAATTTTTTAAAAAATAATATTTAAATAAATTATATTATAATATAATTAATTATGATTAAAATTTATTATTTAATTAATTATTTTTATAATTTATTATATCTCACTGAAATCCAAATGAAAACTGATCGCGTACCTTGTTTGGTGGAGGGCACGTGACAGACGTGAGAATTCTAATGGTAGAATGGAGGTGACTGAAAGGCTCGGCGACATCGTCATGTATCTTCAGCATGCACATTTCTCGGAACCTCATCTCCTCACGTTCATGCTCTATGTTTATATCTTTCCATGTTATTTATACCTTATAATTATTCATTTTATATAATAATTTTAAAAAACCCTAATCAAGATATACCGTATGTTGATGGGAAAATCCGAAACATTTTATGTAAAGTTATACATCCAGGTATGCGTGTCTATATATGTTTATTTCTTAAAAGTTGATCATTTAATCCTATAATTTTAATGCAAATTCAATTGAAACTTCATCCTAAATTCTGATTTGGTATAACTCAATTTTTTTTAATTTTAATTATTTAAAATATTGGTCCCTGACTATATTTTATTTTAGTTAATTATTTATTAAAACTTGGATACTGATGTTTTAAATAAATAAAATTATAGGCAAGGAATTGTATTGAGTTAAAATAATTTAGGGATTACGTTATGAGTTAAAATTATAAGACCAAACGAGTAACTTATTATTATTATTATTATTATTATTATTATTATTATTGGTTATGGTTGTGTTTCAGAATTGTAGGGCTTATATGCTTAGCTTTGATACTTGAGCAGGCTGGGCTGCGCCTAGTTGGGCCTACAGTAACCATAATGTTATTTTTTTTGGGACACCATCATGATGTTCACAAGTCGCTCACATGCATGCCATGGGGCCTGTAAATCACACGGATTTCTTCATTCGACGCCATGAGTCGCTCAGTGTGTTCGTTGGTAAAGTACGATATTATTATTTATTATACGAAAAAAAATAGGTATGATATCTATTGAAAAAAAAAAGAGTAAAAACACTTATAAAAGTTATTAATTGAAACTTTTTGATTAAGAATTTTTTTAAAAACTTAAAGATTTCTGATTGATTAAAAATCACACTGATATCATATAATTCAT